CTCCAGATTTTATTGTCTTTGACGCATTAGCAGAAGAAAAGTAATTCATCATTTGAATGTATGTCTATTGTTTATACTAAATTGTTGTGTCTACATGTCTACATTCTATCAATTGCATATTAACTCAAACACTTATTCTTTTTATATCAACACTCTTCAAATTTCACTCATTTCCTTTCAACATAAAATAAGAGGTCATAAATGAGTCTGTGTTCATTTTTTAAATTTTTGTTTGAGAGTAAGAACATTTGTGAGTGGAGGAGGGGCAGAGGGAGTGATTGAGAGAGAGAGAGAGAGAGAGAGAGAATCCTAAGCAAGTTCCATGCTCAGTGTGGCGGGGAACCCAATTCCACGACCCCAGGGGAAATCAAGAGTCAGACATTCAGCCAACTGAGCCACTCGGGTGCCCCATTGAGTCTGCTTAAAATGAATAAACAAGCACACACAACAGCAGAATCCGATCCATAAATATAGAGAATAAACTCGTGGTTGTCAGAGGGGGGTGGGGAGGATGGGTGAAGGGCAGTGGGAGGTACAGGCTTCCAGTGGTGGAATAAATGAGTCACGGAAATCAAAGGCACAGCGGCCAGAATATAGTCAATGATATTGCAATGGCCCTGTTGGCTGACAGCCAACAGCTGCCTTTGTGCTGAGCACCGCGTAATGTACGGAGAAGTTGAATCTCTATGTCGTACACATGAAACTCGTGTCACATTGTGTGCCAAGCACACTCAGATAATAATATTCTTAAAAATGATTCTGTGTTGGGGTACCCATGTGTAGGTGTGTTTATTTGAAATAAAAATGTATACAGAGAAACACACATATATGCATACATACAACTTTACGGCTGAGCATTTTCTTCGGACTCAACGAAATATGTCCGCACACCTCATTTATTTCTTGCAACATCCATTTGAAGTTACGTTTACGGTCCCAAGTTACTTTTGGAAATAAAGAAGCTGAGGCCAAGGGATATTACATTTTAACAATTGGATTAAGAAGTCATCAAGGTTGTGCATTTTCTTGAAGAACATCAAATAGGAATGTGCAGTAGGTACTTTAGTTTTTGTATGTCTCCCTTACTTCATCAAATCATACGTTCCAAATAGATGCAGTTTATAGCACATGATTATACCCCCACTAAATTGGTTAGAAGGGAAAAAAATCTAGCAGCGTACGGATCAGTGTGAAATATAGAGCAGAGGTAGCTGATTCATACTGAGTCGTGACAGGAGCTTTTTCTTCTCAGTAGGAAGAAAGCAAAGTGTCATGTATGAATACAGGAACAGTAGATGCAAATTAAAATCATTCACTTTTGATATTCTTTTTTTTCCCTGTAAAACAGAAGATAAAAATGCACTTGGAAATCGAGTTAACTGATCATATACTTGTTCAGAAGAGAAGTGCCCCATGGTCACACATGACAGCATGGATAAGCCTTAGGAACAATGTAGAGTCGCGGCGCCTGAGTGGCTCAGTTGATTGAGTGTCCAACTTCGGCTCAGGTCATGATCTCACAGCTGGTGGGTTCAAGCCCTGCGTCAGGCTCGGTGCTGCCAGCTCGGAGTCTGGAGCCTGCTTCGGATTCTGTGTCTCCCTCTCTCTCTCTGCCCCTAACCCACTCGCATCCTGTCTCTGCCTCTCTCAAAAACAAATAAACTTTAACAAAAAATTTAAAAAAAAGAAACAGTGTAGAGTCACAGCTCACTATAGATTCACGAGGAGACAGACAGAGCTCAGAACAATCCCCAACATACAATATCATTTGGTAATAAAAGCATTATATTAAATCATTTTCTTTTAAATGGCTTGTTATGCAGCAATGGCTAACTGATTCAATGATCACGGTGAACAGAAGTAAGGACAATTATCATAATCTGCTGCTGACTGTTCTTGGTATTTATTCTTGTATTTGAAGCCTGCATTCACGGTACCTCTGTTATTTCAGTTTAGTTCAGACACCTGCATATAAAACCTGTCACTGAGAAGCACCTTAGTGGCTCAGTCGGTCGAGTCTCCAACTCTTGATTTTGGCTCAGGTTGTGATCTCACAGTCATGAGATCAAGCCCCGTTCAACTTGGAGCCTGCTTAAGATTCTATCTCTGTCTCCCTCTCTGCCTCTTCCCCTCTCTCCTGCTCACTCCCCCTCTCACTCTCTCTCTCTCTAAAAAACAAACAAACAAACAAACAACAACAAAAACAACAACAAAACAACTACCTCTCATTGAGGGTCATTTCCCCATAGCCAGGAAAGGTTGAAAATGTATGCATTATTGTGTTGGAAAACTGGTGTCCCTGATTCACATGACCAGACAGGAATGTAAGCTCCCTCTTATGTCATCCCTTGAGCATAGAAGATGAATAGAGTCCTGAGCCTGAGAAACATGTATAATGGAGGATAATGACCATTCGACACCCCTTTCATGGTTATGACAAAATTTAGAAGGAAGGGGGATATTTCTTTTACAACAATGAAAGGAGTCATACCAAAGGCAGTGTAAAGATTTCAGGAAGAAACAAGGAGATAATTCAATAAAAATAGAAAAATGTCAATCAGTCCTTCCCCCATTTGGATAAGCCACCTTACACATGGCCACCAATCCTCCATACTCCAATGAATAGCCATACAGCATGAAGAATAAATATTTTAAAGAGCACAATGTGTGATTTAAAACTCCACTTCATTGGGATGGGCGCTAGATGTTGTATGTAAGTGATGAATCACGGAATTCACTCCTGAAACCAATATTGCATGGTATATGAACGAACTAAAATTTAAATCGAACAAAACATAAAATAAAATTTTGCTTCATCATATTAAAGGGCATCTAGAGTCTAAGATCATATTCTAAAGTCAATGTATCTAAGTTTGTTGTTCCATGAAGACTTCTTTTGGAGACGCATATTTGGTGAACGCTTGAGTAAGGAAGTGACTATCGTACACATTGTGGACAACAAGGTACTAAGAGACCAGGATCCGAATGAGGAGAATAAACCGATCTAGAAGACACATTAATATATTAAGTGTCCACTTTTAAGAAGAACAGTTAAGATACTGATATACAAAGGAGCTTCAGACATATAAGCGAAAAAACATAGCCTCAGATATTGTTCTACTTTAAAATCATATATATTTGTCATAAAGTGTGGTTGTTTCCACAGGTGGCATATCAATCATGACAGATCTTTTTGTTTGTTTGTTTCAAGTTTTTATTTAAATTCTAGTTAGTGAACATGTAGTGTAGTGTTGGTGTCAGGAGTAGAATTTAGTGATTCATCACTTACATACAATACCCAGCGCTCACCCCAACAAGTGCCCTCCCTAATGCCCATTGCCCATTTAGCCCATCACCCACCCAATTCCGCCCACCAATCCTAAGACATACAGAGAGTTAACCAGGGGTAATTGTGGCATTAAAAAAAACACGTATGAAAGAAAAATTATTTGGTGTGACACAATTGTTTGAGAAAGATTATTTTTTAAAAACATCTATGTTGCCTCAAGTTAAATGAACATTTCCAAATATTTCAGATCCATGGTTGGAAATAAAATTCAGAAAGTGGGAAATACAAGGGAAAAATCTGTAGGATATCAGAGAGAGAAGAGCTTCATAGAGTGAGTTACATACATGGCATATGGAAGTTGAGGACAAGGAAATAAACGGAAAGAGGAATACTACATCTACAGTCTGAATAAAGATCAAAATCTCTGACCCAGAGGCTTTGACCCCTGCAATCAGAGGCATTTCTTCAATCTCATGACGATTGGCCATGTAAGGGTCTCCTTCCCAAAGAATGCTTTCAGAGCCCTTTTCATGTCTTTGTTCCTCAAGCTGTAGATGAAGGGATTCAGCATGGGCGTGACTACCGTGTACATCACCGAGGCTGTGGCACTTGACTGTGAGCTCTGGGTAGCAGCAGAGCTAAGGTACACGCCTAGCGTCGTACAGTAAAATAAGGAGACAACCGATAGATGAGATGCACAGTTGGAAAATGCTTTACACTTTCCCTGAGCTGATGAGATCCCACGTATGGAGGAAACTATCTTAGAGTAAGAGTAAAGGATCCCAATGAAGGGACCACCAGCCAACAAGACAGCTGCAAGATACATCACCACGTTATTAAGAAAGGTATCAGAACAGGCCAGTTGGAGCATCTGATTAAGTTCACAAAAAAAGTGGGGGATATGCAAGAGTGTACAGAAGGACAGCCGCAACATCATTAAACTTTGTAACAGGGAATTCAGGACACACATGATCCAGGACACCAGAACCAGCAGCCCACAGAGCCGGGGGTTCATGATGATCGTGTAGTGCAGGGGGTGACAGATGGCCACAAACCGGTCATAGGCCATCACACTCAGCAGAAAGATGTCCAACACACCAAAGAGTATGAGAAAATAAATCTGTGTGATGCAATCCTCATAGGTTATGACTTTGCTCTGAGTCCGGATGTTCACCAGCATCTTCGGGACGGTGGTGGAGGTGAAGCAGATGTCTACAAAGGACAGGTTGGCCAGGAAGAAGTACATGGGCGTGTGGAGGTTGGGGTCTGTGCTGATGGCCAAGATGATGAGCAGGTTCCCAAATACAGTGATCAGGTACATGGAGAGGAAAAGCCCAAATATGAGGGGCTGCAGTCCTGGTTCCTCTGAAAATCCCAGAAGAAGAAACTTTGAAAATTGTGTTTCATTGCTTGGTTCCATCTGGTGGAGGTGACCTCTGAGAAAGAGGGAAATAAAAAGAAAAAATTTGTATTACTCACAAAATTGAAATGCGACTGGTTTTTGTTTTTTTTTTTTATTTTGCAGTCCAGAAATTCCTTTTAATATGTTGTGCATGGATATGGTCCCCTTTAGGGAATCATCGCTGCCACATCTGATATATTTTTATTATCAATCAGCTTCTTTCCTAAGAAATCATGTATTTTATACTTTTCCTGAGAAATGCTTCAAGTATTCAGGAATCTAAATTGAGTGCTGACCAGCTTTCAGGCACTATCTAGGCAATGAGTATAGAGTGCTGAAGAACAAAAATCCCTACAGGGATGGAGAAAAAATATGTAAGCAAAGAAGATAATTATACAACTATCTTTGTGATACAATTATCTTTTGATTATCTCACCTTTTTGATGGTGAGGTGTGCTGTGAAGAAATGGAAAACAGGGGTAAAGCAGAGAGCAAATAGGGCATTCTATTTTAATGGCATTTAGGCAAATTCTGTACACAGGTGGCATTGGAACACAGACGTCATGTAAGACAGAGACATAGACACAGGATTCTGGGGGAAGTGCGTGCCTGGCAGGGGGAATGGCCAGAGCAAAGGCCCTGAGGAAGGTACTTGTTTCAAATGTTCAAGTGAAAAAGCAAAGCCAGCGCTGCAAGGGGAATGATCTTGAGGGACACTGATGACAGACTCTGTCACACATGTGAGGAGGGATGTGGCCTCTCTGCAACAACTGTGACCTCCAGGCACAGGGCCGTCCTTGTCCACACTGCCTCTCCCTCGGTATTCATCGTGCTGCAAAGCCTTCCCATGAATTGACACAGATCCCCGTCTTGGTGCCTGCTCTTGACTGAGTTCTGGCCCGTGTATGGTGTCACCTTGGGATTGAGGAGTCCTGGCCCCTGTTGTGAGGACTGCTCACCCTCCCAAGTCACACACGCATAGGACACCGTGGTCTTCTGGGTTGTGAATTTCCCTGTCCTCACAGCCCCCACATTCCTGGTTATGCTGGGAGTGGATACAACCCAAGGAGACCCGATCAGCCATCTTTCCCCTGCAAAGTGTAGAAATGGTTCCCAGAAATGCTAATTCTTAAGCCTCCCATGGACCAATCACCATGGAGCTCCATACTGGAATGTTAATTTTCCGCTGTGATTTACACCAGTGTAACAAAGTCTGCTCAATAGATGAAAGAGACAGAGAGTGAGATACAGAGGGAATGAAATCGATGAGGGAGTGCAATGATCTCATAAGCTGGGGTGGTCCCTGAGAGACTGTGAGGAAGAAATATCTCCCTTGCTTCTCCCCTGGTTACATCCCCTGATGCCCAGCAAAAATAATAAGAGGATGAAACAAACTTATTTAAAAGACAGATAGTGATATATTCATAGTGTGCTTGTACAAAACTATATAGATAAAATATAAATAGATACAAATATTAACATATCTGTTTATATTATACATCAAGAAAAACAAACAAAGGGATAAACCAATACAAAGTCGGACATTTTTATATCAAGCCTAGAAGACATTTTCCTGTACCTCCTGCATCATTATATGACTGATTTATTTCTACGTGATTGATAGGGGATGGGGTTAGCTCCTTTCTCCCTCTTCTTATGTGGCACCTTTTCATTGATATTCCTGGGCTTGGAGTAAAGATCTCTCTTTCTCAAACCCAATGGACACCCTCTAATCCTCACTCGGGAATCTCATCCAACATCCAAAGGACTCTCCAGACCATGCTCTGTAAATTCTGCCGACATCATGACAGTCTCAATGCTACACTGTAACATCCAGAAGAGCAGGGACTTTATCCTCTCTGTTCATTTCTGTGTTTCACCAACTTAGTTGAATATATGTTTTCTATAAAAAGATATAAGACTATGAGAAGTTATAGAATGGAAAGAATGAAAGGTTCTGGAAACCAGGTTAAAATAGTAGCTTGAAAACAACTGTCATAAGCAAAGTTGTATGAAAAATAAAAGCAAACTGGAACAGGTAAAAGTAGCAGTCATTAGTAATACCAACACGGATTAATAACTAAATTGTGAAAGACCATGAAAGAATATGACATATAATGTCTCTAGAATGTTCTGGCCCATGGCAGATGCTCAGTTATTATTTGTTGAATGAATCAGGAATTAGGTCTCCGTGTATAAGGACATTTCCTATATGGCAAGGTCGTATTTCAGTTTCGTTGGAAAAAGATGAATTGCTAA